TTTTATAATTGTATATAAGAGCAAACGCTTTTAAATTTGTTGATGTCTTTTTATGTTTTTGTCTGTGATCCATTTTAAGTTCATTTTTCTGCATGGTGTGAGGTGTACATTGAGGATAATTTGTCCTAAACTGTTATCCAGTTGTTTCAACACTTTGTTGAAAAGACTATTCTTTCCCCATTGAATTACCTTGGATTCAAAGACCTCTATTCACTTTGTACTGTTTCTGTCTCTTTCAGTCCGCATAAGCAGTGTTTCTGTCGATAAACTTTTCTTAAGTACTTTGTGGTTCTCCTGTGAAACTTATTGAGTTACACTCCATTAGATGAAAGCCACACCCACAAATCTCTTTGAGATAAGCCATTATCTACCTTGGCTTCTGCAGCCAAGACTGCTGAAAGACAATGCCCTTATGCATTTTAGATGCCGTATTCTCTGACTGAATGATTCTTCAAGTCATAATCCTTGGTCTTCCTAAGGTCTTTTTTTTTTTTTTTTTTTGATAAAACTGCAAAAGACAAAAAAATCTTTATTGCAATAAGTTAATACAGTAGGTGTAGATGAGAAAGCACATATCAGTTGGTTAGGGCAATGAGAGCCTCTACCACATTGCCCATGTGTTCTCGCAAGCTCCTTTCTGCGGCTGCTAGAGAGATCTCCATCTCTGTCATTATAAGCTCCGGATCTTCCTTTTTGATAGTGACTTTTGCCAGTTCCTTCTCCTGCTTGTTTGGCTTTCTGCTCATGGGACCGTCTGTCTCCAATAACAGACATGGCCGTTTCCAGATTGGAACTCTGGATCTCCTTCTCCTCCACATAATCGGTGACCTGCTCCAGGTCTGCCGTGCCACTGTCATGTTTCCGTGGCTTCTCAGGAGGCCTCTCTGGGCCGCTGGTCTCAGCCTCCAACTCCAGCTCCACATCCCCTTTGGTCGCCATACGGATTCCACCCCCTTCCTAAGGTCTTAATAAAGAATTTTACAATTATATTTTTGGCTTTGTCCTTTGACCATATTTTACTGTGAGGGTCCTAGATTTCTTTTTCTTTTCTTTTTTTTTTTTTTTTTGAGACAGAGTCTCACTCT